TATATATATATATATATATATACGTACTGTTTCAGTTTCAGTTTATTGCAAGCATTATGATTTAGATAGTTTATATAGTGCAGATGTCATATTTAGTTATTTTTTAGAAGTGATATTTTATGGATTGTTTATACAACTCTTTACAAATCATACATTGTGTAATTCAATTGTTAAGAATTAGCAATTGTTTACAATAGTGAGATTATTGCATCATGTTGCTATAACTGAGTTTCTCATTGGTTTAATTGAGTAGTATTGCATGGAATGTTCTAGACTTCGAAAATTTATTATTGAGTTCTAGTTCTCAACTGCATGATCATGAGTTTAGTGATAAACAGCATATAGTTGCAATTTTTAGAGTGAAATTATCACAGACTGTATTGTAATAACAGAGTAAAGAATAATAATTCATCTTGTCAATTGTGTTCTAAAGTAACTGAACCAGCCTGTGTGAACTTAGACGAAAAATATAATTATTTAAAGCTCTAGATACAACTGTGGTGACCAACAGTGTAATGAACATTTGTATATTCATTCGATTTGTGTTTTATATATTATTTTAAAACACATGAACTGTGTTGCTGTTTGTTTATAGTTGAAATTTATCACCAATAAGTCACAGACACCTACTGTAAAGAACCCAGCCTTACAAGAACTGACATGTACATTATCATAAGGGACTTTCTGCACTTCCCTGGTCCAGAGTTTGTACACAGAGCCTTAGGAACTCCCAATTCACCTTTAACCTTTTAAACTTTCTTTGCAATATAATGGGTCTGACATTAGATGTCATTGCTTAATCCAATGATCCCTCCATGGTTTCTTACTAATATTTCGTTGAATTATCTAAATAAGTCAAATACTCTTGATTACCAGTACTGACTTTTTTTTTATTGAACACTTTCTCAATCCTTCCTTCTGTACCAGTTTTTATGGATGGCTTAAAATCAGGTGACTCTATCCTCTATAGATTTTGTATTCATAGCTAAGCTGTATGTAATCTTTCTTGACCTGGAGTACATAAAAGGCAAGTGATATGCTAAATGTACCATCAATACTGATTCCTTAGTCTCTTTTGAAGTCCCTGGAATCACTTAACATTTGTTTGTTTCTCAGTTCTCTTGGATATTTAGTATTTACTGGTTCATTTTCCTCTATCATCATTAGCTATCTGGATTCTGGTAATTTCAATACCTAGGGAGAACGGGCTTGCTTGTACTATAAGTAAAGATTACAAATCTGTCATAAGGGCTTGGCTTCAAGTGAGTTGGGAGATGATTTAGAGTGAGCAACATATGTTAAAACTTTTTTAGTTTACATAATAATCATCATCAGGAGGAAATTGTCTTTGCAAGGCTCCTCATTGGTGAGAGTTTCATTACAAGGGTGAACCTAATAAATCCACCATTGCCCATAAATTACTTTCACACTGTCACTGTTGCCCATATATTACTTTAATATTGTAAATATTGCTCATATATTACTTTCATACTGTCAGTACTGCCCATATATTTGAAGCAATTAGGTTATTTTCAAGGGAATTTACAATTGCTTTGACGTTTTTAGGAGTTTTTATTAATTCAGAAAGTTTAAGAATAAAGTTAAATTAGTATTTGTGTTTTTTGTAAACAACTAAAAAATGTGGATGAACTAGAAAAACAAGGTTAAGCTATGTAAGAAGCGTTGTCTAGAAACGAGATGAGCGTACTAGAACTTGTGACAGGTTGACGAATGGCTGTAGAACTAGGAAAGCTACAGAAAAGTTTGGTTTAGCAAGCGATATCGGTGCTTTGAGGCGATATCACTTTCAGCCAATGGGTGTAGCAGTACAAGTAAATAGGTGACCAGCTAACACATCCTAACTGTAACCAATTACTTGAGAGTTTTGGTTATGGTTTTGGAACAGCCCAGGAATTCCCCTAAAGTGTCCAATAGGATCACAGGATTACTTGCGGGTGATGCTGTGTCCTATTTAGATGATTGAGATAATAGATAGAAAATTTGCTTTATAAACCCATGTCAGAGACTGAAAAGTCAGTTCTCCACAATTTAGAAAGAGTTCCTCTGGAAGCTGGAAAAAGTCACTCTCTTGGGCAACATGAAGGTTTCCAACGTTATTCGATTTCCAAATACAACACCATTGTAAGTAAACTTTACTATTCTCTCTCAGTCAATTAATACCAATGTTTTGTAAAATGTTATGTTGAAATATATCTATATGTATTAATGAAAGTGTATACTGAAGATATTATAAGTATTTCAATCGAGTTAAAAGCCATTTTATGTTGTTAGTCATAAACGATGTTGACTTTATTAACTGTTAGTTAGATGAATTAATGATTAATAAAAGTTATTGTAAGTATTCGCCATTGGCCTGAGACTAATTCTTTAATCTAACTGTAAACTACCTCTAGTTAGT